TTAACGTTATGACAGGACAGAACGACTGTCAACAACGTCTGACCGTGGCCGTGACGTCTCATAGACTAGGGTTAGAGAAGCTTCCCTTCGACAAAGGGCAGTTACTCTAGCGGACAGACCGATGGATTGCCGCGAAAGGCAATTAAAAAGAAGGATTGTTGTTTTGCGTATATTTTGCTTCGCCACTGTATAAGAAACAGATTTCAGTTGGAACTATATTGGCTACTGTTACTGTCCTACTGACACTTCACTTACCCTGTGACGTAATAAATATTAATGCGCGCATTCCAGGAAAACTCGCAATGTTTCGGTAATGTTTGTGAGAGAGGGAAAGCGATTTTCAAGCACAGAATAAAAGAATGACATTATATGATAAAGAGGTTATCACGCTTGTGTGTTTGGGGATGGTAAATATCCTGTATTAGGAATAAACAGTATGTATTTAGCTCGCCAAGGCTCGCTAAATACAATGTTTATTCCTAATGCAGGATATTTACCATCCCCAAGCACACTCCCGTGATAACCTCTATATATTATCATAATATTAGATTGTAACAAAGACTTGTAACATGGAACGCGTTTCATTGTACAGCTGCAGATATAGGGGCTGTTGTTCCTTTATTTGGATATTGAAGGGTACATTCCTCAATCAGGATGACTGAAACCTCTGTCCATTTATTTCGCTAATTGACAAAAATATCCACGTTCAAAAGGACTTTAAAGCATGATAATAGACTAATTATGCTGGGATTAGTAGCGAAAACACAACTAATGTACATTGACTTTCGTTTTCTTTTAATCCTATCATTTCAGCCACTGGGTGATGAAAATAAAAAAACAAAATGTTTGGAATTGTTATCATATTAGAACAAGTGGACTGACTTTCCAGTCAATATGTAAAATAACTAAAATATTCAGGCGTTTTATTAATTGACTAAGTGACAATTTCAGTCATTTTACACATTGACTGCAACATATCCACACGATATGATAGCCAATGCTCAGCTGCCATCCTTAGCTTGTGTCCCAAGTCAAACTTGGAAAACTGCAGAATACTAAAAGCTAGTAAGTTATCAAAACATCGTCACCATCACCGATGCGACCTCCAAAGATGCCTACATTTCCGTTCCAAGATAAAACTGTATTTCATTTTGTTGGTCAATGTGACATCACGCCCTTATAATATCAATAAACGAGACAAATGCGTTTACGGTTGGCGCAGCATAGATAACGAAAAAATCGAGATAACTGGGATATCATCCGGAAAAGTTTGAAATAAAGGAATAATAAAAAGTTACTTATTTCATGATTTTTTACAATGCCGTTATAAACATATAGAAAACTCACTCAGATTGAATGCATTGGAGTTTAACACACTAATTGAAGTTGAACATGTAAACGGTGTCCCCGTCGTGATAGTTCAAGAATATGTCCTTACGCGGTATCTATATGTACATACCTCATCACTGAATCATGAAAAATATAACACAAAGAAAAGCGTTTGTTAAGAATGAATTGACAAAAAAACGTTAATATAAGAATCAGTATTCAGGTAGACCCAAGTCTTCACCACCCCCGATAACCTATACAGAAGCTGCGGGATGGATACAGGCCGTGGAAGCCAGCACAGAACAAGTGTGCAGTGGGAGCATCAGGTGCACACACGTTACATTGAAATCCCACGCGACATATATTGTGAATCTAATTTGAACGAAATCGGATAAATATCTTAATGTTAACCATTATGAGGCCTCCGTTCCGTTGCCATGGTAACTGGGGTTCTCACAACCTATGACACTGTGTATACGTAGATGTATATTTATCGAAATCGGACAATATCTAGATTTCAACCAATCATAGTCTTCCGTCCTGTCGTTATCAGTTATTTAGATAGTAACGGACATGAGGTAACCTGGTAGAGTATCGTAAGCTACGTGTTTGTACAACAATAAGTTTGATAGAAATCGGTTAAAAGGATCAGGAGTCATAATCCCTTGTATACATCCTGCGTAGAGCAAGTCATAACCCCTTGTATACAACCTGCCTAGAGCAAGTCATTACCTCTTGTATACAACCTGCCTAGAGCAAGTCATAACCCCTGTATACAACCTGCCTAGAGCAAGTCATAACCCCTTATATACAACCTGCCTAGAGCAAGTCATAACCTCTTATATACAACCTGCATAGAGCAAGTCATAACCCCTGCATACAACCTGCCTAGAACAAGTCATAACCCCTGTATACATCCTGCGTAGAGCAAGTCATAACCCCTTATATACAACCTGCCTAGAGCAAGTCATAACCCCTGTATACAACCTGCATAGAGCAAGTCATAACCTCATGTATACAACTAGCGTAGAGCAACAGGATGGTTGTTGTAGAGATTCAAGTCTTTTGCACATCCAGACAATGTGTAACGATCAATTAAACCTGCGAAGTTTCATGACTGTCGATAAGTATTATTTCATAGCGAAATGTAACAATTATTCTGTCACTTCAAACCTTATTGTAAAAAAATATTTACAGATAAAGTTAATCCGCAACCCTTTATGTAAACTGTTTTACATTTAGGGTTATCTTGTGACCCTCAGCAAATTTGATTATTTTTACAATAAGGGTTAATACGCAACTCTCAATGTGAAAATGTTTACATGAAGGGTTGTAACAAAACAGGAGACATGAGGTCGGCCGCTGCCAGGGTATTCCAGATATGTCACAATACGGCACAATCTCTAATCTTTGGTGTCGATACTAAATACAGAGTCAGTGTCAGAGTATATCCAGTTTCCATTATCCGCATTTGGTGTAAAAGGAAAAGTAGCGGTGAATGCATCACTGAACATCGGTTATGACACCAGCTGTTCGCTATAAAGGTAAGCATGTCCTGCTCTGTCGGTAACACCCGCAACTCACACAATAGAAAGGTAAGCATGTCCTGCTCTGTCGGTAACACCCGCAACTCACACAATAGAAAGGTAAGCATGTCCTGCTCTGTCGGTAACACCCGCAACTCACACAATAGAAAGGTAAGCATGTCCTGCTCTGTCGGTACAACCCGCAACTCACACAATATAAAGGTAAGCATGTCCTGCTCTGTCGGTAACACCCGCAACTCACACAATAGAAAGGTAAGCATGTTCTGCTCTGTCGGGAACACCCGCAACTCACACAATAGAAAGGTAAGCATGTCCTGCTCTGTCGGTAACACCCGCAACTCACACAGTAGAAAGGTAAGCATGTCCTGCTCTGTCGGTAACACCCGCAACTCACACAATAGAAAGGTAAGCATGTTCTGCTCTGTCGGGAACACCCGCAACTCACACAATAGAAAGGTAAGCATGTCCTGCTCTGTCGGTAACACCCGCAACTCACACAATAGAAAGGTAAGCATGTTCTGCTCTGTCGGGAACACCCGCAACTCACACAATAGAAAGGTAAGCATGTCCTGCTCTGTCGGTAACACCCGCAACTCACACAATAGAAAGGTAAGCATGTCCTGCTCTGTCGGTAACACCCGCAACTCACACAATAGAAAGGTAAGCATGTCCTGCTCTGTCGGTAACACCCGCAACTCACACAATAGAAAGGTAAGCATGTCCTGCTCTGTCGGTAACACCCGCAACTCACACAATAGAAAGGTAAGCATGTCCTGCTCTGTCGGTAACACCCGCAACTCACACAATAGAAAGGTAAGCATGTCCTGCTCTGTCGGTAACACCCGCAACTCACACAATATAAAGGTAAGCATGTCCTGCTCTGTCGGTAACACCCGCAACTCACACAATAGAAAGGTAAGCATATCCTGCTCTGTCGGTAACACCCGCAACTCACCAAATATAAAGGTAAGCATATCCTGCTCTGTCGGTAACACCCGCAACTCACCAAATATAAAGGTAAGCATGACCTGCTCTGTCGGTAACACCCGAAACTCACACAATATAAAGGTATGCATATACTGCTCTGTCGGTTACACCCGCAACTCACACATTAGAAAGGTAAGTATGTCCTGCTCTGTCGGTTCAACCCGCAACTCACACAATATAAAGGTAAGCATGTCCTGCTCTGTCGGTACAACCCGCAACTCACACAATATAAAGGTAAGCATGACCTGCTCTGTCGGAAACACCCGCAACTCACACAATAGAAAGGTAAGCATGTCCTGCTCTGTCGGGAACACCCGCAACTCACACAATAGAAAGGTAAGCATGTCCTGCTCTGTCGGTAACACCCGCAACTCACCAAATATAAAGGTAAGCATATCCTGCTCTGTCGGTAACACCCGCAACTTACCAAATATAAAGGTAAGCATGACCTGCTCTGTCGGTAACACCCGCAACTCACCAAATAGAAAGGTAGGCATGTCCTGCTCTGTCGGTAACACCCGCAACTTACCAAATATAAAGGTAAGCATGACCTGCTCTGTCGGTCACACCCGCAACTCACACAGTAGAAAGGTAAGCATGTCCTGCTCTGTCGGTAACACCCGCAACTCACACAATAGAAAGGTAAGCATGTCCTTCTTTGTGTCGTGTTATCGCCATGTCGTGTCGTGTTATCACCATGTCGTGTCGTGTTATCGCCATATCGTGTCGTGTTATCGCCATGTCGTGTCGTGTTATCGCCATGTCGTGTCGTGTTATCGCCATGTCGTGTCGTGTTATCGCCATGTCATGTCGTGTCGATGTTTCTTTTGGCTGTATCGCAAAATCGCTATATCGTGTCGTGATATCGCAAAGTCGTGTCGTGATATCGCAAAGTCGTGTCGTGCTATCACTTGCAGCGAAGTTCGTGATTGAAGATGGTCTCCTTCACATAAAGCTTGTAAATCCCGTGATTGAAGATGTTCCTCGACATCCCGGCAGAACATCACGAATACGAATCAATATTGCAAACCGCAACGGTTTCAATTCAACGTTAAACCACAGTTCATTCTCTGTTCATTATTGTAAATACCATATTTAAACAATAGAAGCGGACGGACGAAAGGTGGCTACACTCACCGGCTGCATGTCGTCTGATGGATGGAGGTCGGCTGCTTGGGATGGGTGGAGGGGCGAGGTTGTGCTCCTTGGTTTAGCTGATGGTCGAGATTGGTGCCAAGTGATGCTTTGAGTGGCCCGGCCAGTTCAGGGTTCCCGGGCAGAGTGCAGCTCTAATATACCCGCTACTGTGTAATGTATACTCGCATCTGATTAGTTTCAACAACTCAGGAGCCACTCGATATGCCTCACTTTGATAGGATATTTACATAACCCCATCTGCCACACGCACCCGGTGCTCACCCTCAGATGCCACTCATTCATCAACACTGACAGCATGTAAAATTGTAAAATATCATATGATAATAGTACACAATATGAAAATAGTAGTAGGGATGTGTGTGTGTGTGTGTGTGTGTGTGTGTGTGTGTGTGTGTGTGTGTGTGTGTGTGTGTGTGTGTGTGTGTGTGTGTAATTTATATTCAATGACTGTACACACATCTGAGGTCAGATAATTTATATTCAATGTCTGTACAAACATCTGAGGTCAGATACTTCATATTCAATGTCTGTACACACATCTGAGGTCAGATACTTCATATTCAATGTCTGTACAGACATCTGAGGTCAGATACTTCATATTCAATGTCTGTACAGACATCTGAGGTCAGATACTTCATATTCAATGTCTGTACACACATCTGAGGTCAGATACTTCATATTCAATGTCTGTACAGACATCTGAGGTCAGATACTTCATATTCAATGTCTGTACAGACATCTGAGGTCAGATACTTCATATACAATGTCTGTACACACATCTGAGGTCAGATACTTCATATTCAATGTCTGTACAGACATCTGAGGTCAGATAATTTATATGCAATGTGTTTAAGGACGTCTCGGTCGACACTATACATATTCACAGTAGCGCCTTCCAAACAGTAGACACATTTCGAGTATTGAAACTTAAAGAGAATAAAGATTGCACTGTCTGTCCAGCCCAAGGCAGCTATCAAGTAGTGGAATATACATGAAACAGAGATTCATTTGTTTCGACGTAGACGGATGCGACATTTTAGTGACCACAGCTGACCTTCGTTATAAGGACTTTGCATCTTTTCATGGGAACATGATAATGTGTTGCTGTTGTTGTTGGTGTAATAAATAGTCGACTAACCAAGATGTACGCATACTGAGGGCAGTGACATAAAAATAATAACAGTGTGCGTGATCCGATACAGTAACCCCTTTCTTCTCACAAACATATCTGTGTGAATGGACCCGTGAAGATCCAGGGTAGAACAGGTCGTTTGCAACCCATGCTTGCCGTAAAGGGGACTACACTTGTCGTAAGAGGCCACTAACGGGATCGGGTGGTCAGACTCGCTGACTTTGTTGATGCATGTCATCGATCCCAATTGCGTGGATCAAAGGATTGTCTGATCCAGACCCGATTATTTACAGACCGCCGTCATGTAGCTGGACTTTATTGCTGCGTGCGCGCGTGCGTGAAGGTGTTTGTCTGGGTGTCGTCCCGGGATACATCTGGTAAACTCAGATCAGGTTCAGCCCAACACGTGTTCATCTCACGTCTCGCTTCGCAGATGCTGTTGTATCGTTATCACTGGTTCTCAATGGCGTGGCTACTTTCACACCTACATCCCTGTGACAGCTTTCATGGTTCAAGTTGAAACATCGATACAACCAGTAACATGTGTTTACAGTTGGGACAACTTTGTAAATATCCCTTTTGCAGTCATTGAAGACAATTTTGAATCCTTGCAAGGCAGATCATGCAGCGATTATCGCACATCCGTTATGAATCTCACTTTAGCCAAGTTAACAAATCGTAGTTGTTTTGGGGAGGAGGGTAAATAATGCAAAAGTTTCATTTTAGTGTTATTGCGTTTTGTTCGTTTGTTATTTAACGACGTATTCAGCAATGATCTAGCTATATGTCGGCGGTCTGTAAAAAATAGAGTCTGAACCAGTGATTGACATTATGAGCATCACTCCACGCAATTGGAATACGATGACCTGCATCAACCAAGTCAGCGAGCCTGACCACCCGATCCTGTTAGACGCCTCTTAAAAACAAGCATAGTCACCTTTTACGGCAAGCATGGGTTGGTGACGACCTATTCTATCCCGGATCTTGTTAGTGTCGGTGCCATGTTATGCGGTTAGGGAGCATTTCCGCTCAGGCGTAATACTAACAAAAACGTGTGTGTGTTGTGGTGGTGAGGTGAGTGGAGTGTGTGTGGGGGGGGGGGGGGGGGGGGGGGGGGAACAGTACGTTGTTGTGTGAACATTACCTTTGATATTCGTTTTTTTAAAGTTACATTTAGGAGGTAAACCTACTGTGTTTTGAAATTTGATGTAGTCTCACCGTAGAGTAGATAACTCTTTATTACAATTTGGAACCTCGCGCTAAAACGCTCGGTAAACACGGTAGGTTTATCTCCATTCTACCATGACGGCAACAACGCTTTGAAAACGGCGCTCTCTTGCAACGCGTAACAACACAGGTGCATAGGTCCGCAATCATAGAACATTCCGAAAAGTGGTCACAGGTAGTTATATATGTAACAATTATTACTAAAGTTCAAGATTAAAAACACTTTAGTCGTGAGTAGTTCATAATAAGTATTCAAAACACAAATAATTGACAAATAACACTCCAAACTTTGTCCAAAGAGAGATGTTTTAATTTCTACCAAACTGTTGTACACTGTTGTACACTGTGGACTGGCTGTCATTTCTCGGAATTTTGCGAGAGAGGTCATTTCTTGGAAATCGAACATGCCATCATTTCTATTGGAGGGGTGACAGGTTATAGAAAGAGGTTTTAAAATGCTAAACGAATATATTTCTACAACAAACTTTATGTATTAACATTCTATTATACATTTAACATGTGTAAGTGTTATTAGTTAGTTAGCAATTACCCCCAGTAAACAATAATAAAATCAAAATAAATGCATCTCCACTCCGAACTTGGATGTGGCAGAACTTGACCTACATCACGGTTACTCACACCTCCCAGCTGTCAATGGCAGACAATCTTGTGTTTACATTCTATGTAACGAGTTATAGAATGAAGCAAGATGACAACCCTGATCTATGATGTGGTTCAACATTAACATGTAGATTATCTGGGATTGATTGAGCCTGCTGGTACATCCATATGATTACCAATGTGACTGTGTATGACAGAACGGGGAATCTGCATGGTGTGACCTGTCAATTTCAAGATTTCACGGATCCAAAGCCAGATAGTGACAGAACTTAGGCATTTGTGGCCCAGAAATAGTTGATCGTGTATGATTTTCTTAATTGTGCGTGTTCTGAAATGAATTTCGTCATGTTTGATAAGCTGTCACTTCAGTTGGGACATTGTTTTCGTGGACCTTCGAATAGGAGTGTTTTCTGATGGACTTTCAAATCCCCTCCGGCCAAATCTAACGATGGTGGTTTACGGAGATGGCAACGAACATCGATCACTACGACAATATACTGTAACGCCTATACTTTTAACATAGACTTACGACTGTTTTAGCGCTACGATCCCTTTGTGAAACGGGCCCCTGGCTGGTATTATAGACAGCAGGTGTATTGGGGAAATAAAGATTCGTATTACAGCTTATATGGGGGTGGTCGATCGGCAGCCATTTTTTATGAATCGATATGTAGGCTTTCTATGTATTCGTGCGCACGTTTTTTGTGAAAAGGCCTAAGATAATTGAAAGGGGTTTCCGTAGCAAAAAGGAAACCTCTTTTTAACCAAGCAGAATCAAGCATTCATCAATGTCATGGTAGAATCATTTATGTCCATCCCACTCACGGCATGACTTCTGCCATCTCATAAACGGCATAACTCCTGCCATCTCACTCACGGCATGACTTCTGCCATCTCACAAACGGCATATGACTCCTGCCATCTCACTCACGGCATGACTCCTGCCATCTCACTCACGGCATGACTCCTGCCATCTCACTCACGGCATGACTCCTGCCTCACTCACGGTATGACTCCTGCCATCACACTCACGGCATGACTCCTGTCATCTCACTCACGGCATGACTTCTGCCATCTCACAAACGGCATATGACTCCTGCCATCTCACTCACGGCATGACTCCTGCCATCTCACTCACGGCATGACTCCTGCCATCTCACTCACGGCATGACTCCTGCCATCTCACTCACGGCATGACTCCTGCCTCACTCACGGTATGACTCCTGCCATCACACTCACGGCATGACTCCTGTCATCTCACTCACGGAATGACTCCTGCCATCTCACTCACGGCATGACTCCTGCCTCACTCACGGAATGACTCCTGCCATCTCACAAACGGCATGACTCGATCCTGCCATCTCACTCACGGCATGACTCCTACCATCTCACATACAGCATAACTCCTGTCATCTCACTCACGGCATGACTCCTAGCTGCCATCTCACAAACGGCATGACTCGATCCTGCCATCTCACTCACGGCATGACTCCTGCCATCTCACTCACGGCATAACTCCTGCCATCTCACTCACGGCATGACTCCTGCCTCACTCACGGTATGACTCCTGCCATCACACTCACGGCATGACTCGATCCTGCCATCTCACTCACGGCATGACTCCTGCCATCACACAAACGGCATGACTCCTGCCATCTCACAAACGGCATGACTCCTGCCATCTAACTCACGGCATGACTCCTGCCATTTCACAAACGGAATGACTCCTGCCATCTCACTCACGGCATGACTCCTGCCATCTCACAAACGGCATGACTCGATCCTGCCATCTCACTCACGGCATGACTCCTACCATCTCACATACAGCATAACTCCTGTCATCTCACTCACGGAATGACTCCTGCCATCTCACATACGGCATGACGCCTGTCATCTCACTCACGGCATAACTCCTGCCATCTCACTCACGGCATGACTCCTGCCATCTCACTCACGGCATAACTCCTGCCATCTCACTCACGGCATGACTCCTGCCATCACACAAACGGCATGACTCCTGCCATCTCACAAACGGCATGACTCCTGCCATCTAACTCACGGCATGACTCCTGCCATTTCACAAACGGAATGACTCCTGCCATCTCACTCACGGCATGACTCCTGCCATCTCACAAATGGAATGACTCCTGCCATCTCACAAACGGAATGACTCCTGCCATCTCACATACGGCATGACT